ATGTTTATAATTTTTAACTCCAGAAAACAAACTAGGTTTTATGGCTAACTAACACTTGCCAACTAACATAATAATGTCTCACAGCCATAGCTATAACACTACAATAAGCCCTTACCCCCACACTCCTCAGAAGACTGGATGCTTAAAATAAATGATCTTGTTCAATCAGAAGCTGTGAATGAAATGTAGGAATCTCTGGGGGGAAATCTAGCTATGTAGATCTTATAAAGGAGCTGAGACCATAAGGTAATAACTTTTTCATCTTAGAAACTGTGCATGTAAGGTTCCTTAGTCTCTTCAGCTTGACATTCCTATAGAGTAATAAGGTGTCAATATTCAGAAAGGTACCACTTATTTGGCAGTTTTACAGCCTTGAGAGCATGGACTGCAGACAACCTACAGATATTCATAGATTTCTAATGGAAACCCCCAAAATCTCATGGAACCAAGCCAACAAAACATGGAATGATCACCCCAGACTGGAATCCAAATGCATCACTGTAGTTTGCTGATCTGATTAGCTCTGTAGTACAGGATGGAGCCCATCCATTTTTCAAAACTGGGCTAAAGCCTTGAACAGTTGTTTTGGTAATGTAGGTGAGGCTTTAGGTCTTAATAGTTCCTACAATTACTGCTGAATCTGGCCTTGGCTCAGGAATAAACTCCTTGTATTGAAAAGATTTACTACCCTAACTATATCTGTATCTCAATTTAATGAAAATGTTAAGGATAATTTGATGGTCTCTTGCCAGTGTAATTTTAAATAAAATGTCTTCATTCCTTGGCAGTGTCTGTTGGCACTCAGGTTTAACTAAAGGAAGTGCTTAAGTGAAGTGCTTTTTACATTACAGTCTTGCCAGTATCTTCTCTGATAGAATAGATTTAATTTTCAGTGTTTTACTCAGAGTAAATAAATTTAAAAAAAATAAATTACCTGCTACCCCCAGTCCATATGATAGCAAACCTTACTAAAATGTTACTAGAAATCAGATATTGGCCTATCACAGCATTTGGACTAACTTCAAGCCTCATCTCCTGTAAATTAAAGTATTTCTAACTTATTTACCATTCATTTATTATGCGCTCTTGTAAAAAATGCTTCTGCATCTTGGGAAGTAATGTAGCACATAATGAGGTGCTGTCAGTGCATCCTAGATTTTCATCTGAGTTCAGCAAGTCAGCATAAAAGTTTAGGACACTTTATTATAATTGCACAGGGAATGGAAAGTAATGGTAAGATGGTGACAATTTGGCCATCATACCCTACAGAACTGAGCAATTGCCAAATATGCTCTTGATTGCTTACCCTGTCTAAATCAGGAATATACGCACAGAATGGGGCCAGAAGGGCAATGAATCAGAAGTTAAATTGTTTGGGGATTAGTTTGAGAATAAAAAAGGTTGTAGATATAAAATGGTGCCTCATTCAAAGGATAAAACCAGCATGTGTAATATTTATTATCTTTTTAAAATTTAAATGCTATTGACTTGTTTTAATATGTAGAAAGAGTGTTTACAAAAACTATAAAATCCCCCTGACAGAGGCAGAGTGTGCCGCTACTTGCATTAAGGCACCAGTATCTCCATATTTTTAAAAGTTCTTAAGTCGGCTCAGTAATGTTATCCTTAGCACCCAGCACAATATAAACTGAAGATCTTCATCACTGTTGGGAAGGTATTATTTTCTCTTATTATTGCTCCCCAACAAATCTTCATTCCTGGTTTTCTTCTACTCAGTACCAAGGTGTCAACAAGCTACATGTAGAAGATGGCTTTGCTTCGAGTCACAGTGAAAAAGGAAAAAGAAGATCTTACAATAGTCATATATGTACCACAAAACTTTTCCTGTCCTTTGGTGCCAAGAGGCAGGTCCAGGAGAGAATCTATAGATGAGTTTCTCTGTAATGTGGATTAAATCACACTTTACCCCTATTTTCAACAACCGTGACTATCTTTGTATTGCTGTTTTAATTTCTAATTTACAAGAAAAAGAAGGTATTTGCACACCCTTGCAAAACTTGATTGCAGGGAGTGATGAGAATGTTGAGTTGTGACATCTTTTTAAGACACTGCATCTGATGAACAATTGGACTTCTGCAGTCCAGCTGTACCTGGAAGCAATGTGTACATACGCCTGCAGAGGGAAAAAAAGAACAATCAAATGGCAAAGAACTATGATTAGAAGAATGCAAAAAATCTTGTGGAATGTGCAGTAAGAAGGAGATGAGAAATATGGGAAACTGCATACGGAGCTAACTTCATTTGCAGCAGGTGAGGCAGGTGGGTGTTAACACAGCATACATACGAGAGCAATATTCCTAGATCCTTGAGTATATGTTTGTCAGGGCTCTGAGTACACTGACAGGACTTAACTTCCCTGAACAGCTTCAGCCAGGACCCCCACTCACTCACCCCACTGCTCATCAGTCCATCTAAGCCCAGGCGTACCTGTCTCCAGCCCTGCCTCCTGGATGGACCTTGGACCTGCGTCACAGCACTGTCTTCTGCTTGTGGCTGGACCCTTCAGACTCATCCCCTTGCCCTGCCTAGGGCTGTCGGTGGACCCTGTTAACCATTGCTGGGCTCTGCCCACTTTGTCTGGATCCTGTGGGATTGTCCTGACTGGGGAGGGCATGGTGGTGCTGGGGTCATGCTCGGTGCCCACTCGTCTTCCTTCATGGAGCAGCCCTGCTGTTGCTGCTCCCTGAGGATATTAAACCAGCCTCTGCTCTTTTTGACTAAGTGACACTGAGTTTTCTGACTCTTGTATATTTTCTCCACTGTGATATGAATGTATGCTTTGTCTTAAAAAATGAATATAAGAATAAAACACATTTACAGTTTATTTTATGCTTTCATAAATTCACTGTATTTGAGACACAAACACTTAGTTTATTCTGTTATATAAGTTTTCATTTAATAAAATTACACCCAGAGTGGCCTCTAGGGGCACATGCAAATGACCGAGATTTCTCAGACAAATATTCATCAGCTCGGCCCATGGCATTTACCAACTACTTATTCAGAAGGTGACAGCCAGGGTCAGCAGAGGATCTTATGTCCTTCTGACATTGGAGCTGGAACCTGTCAAATGTGTATTAGTCCAAAATCTACTTCACAGAAACCCTGCTCTCCACAGTTTCGCTTTTCTTTGGCTTCTTACATAAGGAGGGATTGAATCCCTAAGTTGGCTTTGCCACTGATAAAAATTTGGCACAAAGTTGTGACCTAACAGGTCGCTTCTGTGCTAATGAAAATCAATGAATTAACTGCTAAGGACTCCTAGACTAGTCCTTTTCTGTATGAGACTTACAAAGTTTATCAAGGCTTAAGTCCCCTTGAAAAGAATGCTGTCATGCTTGGAGAAAAACTTGCTATCACTCCCATATAAAGCAGTGTGATATTACATCAACAATGCAACATGTTGAAACTATGAACGAACATTTGATGTGGTATTTCACAATGCCCTAAACCTCAACTGCATTCCTAATCAGTATTTATAGGAGGCCAGGCTTGCTTATACTGAAACTGTGTTATCTTGGGAAATGCAGGGCTAATGTTTACTCTTGCCAAGCACTTGTTCCCTTACGAAAAGTCTGAAATTTTAAAATTTAGACTCTTCTAAATCATCCAAATCCAAAGGAATCTCAACAAGTATTTCTTTTCTCAGTCAGCTTGGCGACAGTTAAATGGCATTGCATTGTCGGTATGAACAGCTGCGAAGCACATACATCGTCTCCTGACATGGATCCTGGCCATTTGTTTGTTGTGATATGCCGATGTGAGAATTCACGAGTTAGGGCTCAATCAAATTTCGACTGAAGCAAACGAAAGCTGGATTTGGCCACCTATATTTATTTAGCACCTCGCAGCCGCAGACTGAATAATTGCTTTTTGTTATTGCTGTTGTCCGTATCACCTCTGTACCTGGAAAGATGCAATCACAGCACTGAAAAATGGAGCGCAGGCTAAGAAATAAATACAAACTAGAGGGGCCTTGGGTGTAGTGTCACCATTCAGGTCTGCTGCTTTGGTATTACAGTCTTTCTCTCCTTCCATCCTTCATCAACTGTCGAGGCCCCGATCCTGTGCGGAGCCCAGTTGCATCAGGAACTTTCTCAAGTGGATTTTCACATCTGTGTAAGCACAAGAGCCTGTACTCGGGTGTTCAGTGTTCCGTCTTCAATACTGGTCATGAAGTCTTCGCAATGGGGTAATGTCTATCATATGCTTATCCTACAAAACGCACAAATCTGAGAGAGAGAGAGATATATATGTATAAACTGCACGTTACCACAGCCCACCGACGCTGAGGAAGACAGCCCTGCACTGAGGCCAGGCGGGACCCTCACCTCAGGCCCGCTCCTCAGTGTGGCCCGGCTGGGGCGGAGGTGGTACAGCGGTTCCAAATTCCGCTCCAAACGCTCCTGTACACCCCCGCAAAGCTCATAATTAAAATGGGAAAGAAGTTTTAGATGAAACAACCGTAGCTGGGACAAACCGGACACCGGTCAGGGCTGTGAGAGAGGCGGCTCCAACGGGCGGGGGGCACAACCCGGTCGTTAGGCCCGGTAAGGGGGGGCGGCAGGCCCGGTGAGGCCTCGGGGGGGCCGCGGGGCTTGCCGGCCAGGGCGAGGCGGCGGCCGAGGAGAGGCGACGGCCGGGGGGAAGCGGCCGGCTCCCCC